CTTATAAAAAGGTCAGTTCAGAACTTTGTAGGGACAGTATTTATAACAAAACACCTAGGCAAAGAAAAGTTTTAACCTGTCCGGAATTCAAAATTCCAGAAATTAGTGATGATTAAAATAGCCACGGTTGAACTCTAATGATTGAACTAAACTATGAATTAAAAAAAAAAGGTACAAGAGAAGAAAATTTGACTTCCACTGGTACACGGACGCACATACAGATGTTTGACCAGCAGGACTTGTGCCGGGAGAGAGACTGTAGCTTTGGAACTCAAAGAACATCATTTTCTTTTTCATCATTTTGAATATTTATCACAAAAGCATTTATTTCTCAAAGAAAACTAAAATTCTGAATTTTGCCATATCTACAGAAATGTTCTACCTGTGATTTCCAAAAGAAATCGAATAGCTATTTAAGAGTGTTGTTAATCCCCCTCCCCTTAAAAAACAAACAAACAAAACAAACAAAAGCACAATGATTTCTTTAGGACAGAATCTTAATATTCTTTCTGCTGCCTCTCTACTATTTCTATTTTACAATCTTTTCTTAGTGCATTTGGAAAATGTGTTTTTTTTTTTAAACCTTTGGTGTGAAGCAGGGTCTTTTTTTTCCATTTCCCCCATTTTTCTTTCCTTTTTAAAAATGATTCTGGAGTCTTTGGTTGAAAGGAACAGTGCTTTCTAAGGACAAAATGCGGCTACACAAGTTTTCTAGCATGCGTGCGTGTAATAAAGTTTTGGAGCTGGTAAGAGCAAGTATTTCTGTTTTCTGAAATGCCATCAATACAAACTTCTACTTTGTGAAACGTGAGACTTCGGTTGCAAACTTTGGTTTCTTGTACTCTGGCATTTTAAAAAACAAAAACAACTCTATTAAGGTCTCAGTACTCATTTTCTTATATTCCATTGGCCGTATCTAAGGCTCTATCTTGGTTGGTACAGTGATTACAAAAAATCACTACCAGGTTTTCTGTAGAGGGGGTGATCGTGGGATTGAGTGGGAAGGGATGGAGTGCATGTGTGTGTGCACGTGTGTGCCTGCGTGTGTGCACGCATGTGTGTGCGTTGATAGCAAATGAAAACCGCTATCTGGGATTCCCAAGCCGTTTATGCAAAAGGGTGTTTAGGCCGCTGGGGGCACCTCAGTAACTGTACTTAGTACAAATAAATAAAAATTGGAGGGGAAAAAAATCAATAGACCCTACACGGTTATTTGAATCTATGGACTACCCATTTACAGCAAGTCCAATTATTTACACAATATAACATACATCAACGTAAGCCATAAACAGAATGAGCACGTTGCCTTACCACAGAATAAAAATTAGAAGTTAAAAATATTTAAGAAATCTGTTTTGATATTTACAGGCGCTCAGTGAAAATTATGGTTTGTCACACCATGTGGGCTGTACAATTAGCAAAATGGAATGGTCGCTACAGGTGTTCATTTCCCTAACCAATCTGGCGGAGGTTAGGTGATTTTTCTGTTATTATTATTATTTAATTTCCTCCTCTTAGGAGGAATTTAATCTTACATTTTAAAAGTTTTATTTTTAAATCACCGGTAATGTTCTTGGTGTCCTTGAAAGACAGAGCAAGTAGACAAGCAGGGTGACAGCTAGTTTAAGCCTGATATTTCAGTACAGTACTGTTGCAGTGTGGAAATGTGCAATGGTTTGTCAGAACTATAGGCGTTGACTTACTGATAGAGAAATACTCAGGACCCTGCATTACATCAGTGTTTGACTGTGGGTTGCCAAATTAAAAATACTCATACATTGGTTTAATGAAGGAAATCAAACATATTAGCTTATTCCTTCCCCCCCAACATATGAATGCAAACATATGTCTATATGAATCTATATATACACATGTACACATGTAGATACATCGTTAAGACCTGTTGATGGTTTGCAGTTTCTGTGTTTGTATGTGAAGTGAATCACTGAACTGGAGCACAGTTACTTATAGAAAAATGGAAATCATCGTAGTTGCCTATTTAATGCAGGTCTTGCTTAAAATAAACATGATTCATTTCTCCATTCTGCATTCTAGAGCACTTCCTTTATGTGTTGTGCTTTTGGAAGCTGATAGATCTTTTGCCTGTGTGTATGTGTTCCTAACGCTAGCATGTAAAATCTTTTGGTTTATAAATTATCATCATCATCATTATTATTTTACTTAGCACTGCTTTGAGGAATGGAAGAGAAAAGGTCTACATGGTTCTGCTCGAGTCTTTTCCTGTTATTAAATTGCAAGAGAAAGGATTGTTAACATTCCTATGCGAACACATGATTATGTTGCATGAGTTTTCAGTTCTGAAGTGCATTTCATACCTACTAGCAGTCATGTACAATATATACAGACAGATTGAGATCCGAGATTTCATTTAGACTGTATAGTTTAGAGTCAGAATTTGCCTATAAATTTCACAAAGATGAAGAAAACACCTTAATTGCTGGCTGTCTGGCTGCTTTGAAATCCAAAGAAAAACTATACGTATGTGAGGATGGACACCATGTCAGACGGGCCCACACACACCTTCGTGGTTCTTTAGTTGAACGCCTAGAGGTCAGGCTAACTTCTCTACCTACTGGTCAGGCCTAGCACCCACCCCTGCCTCTGATGACTGCGTCCCCACCCAACGAGATGCGCAGCTCAAGAAAATTCTATGTCTACGGTTGTTTCTGGACAGGATGAGTCAGTTGTTGTTTTTAAACCTGCTAATGCATGGTTTTCACTCTGCGGAGATTCGTGGCATGTCTGAGGACAGAAGTGGATTCCCCTCCTCTGTGCGTATGGGAGGCCGGGGTGGCAAAGCCGCTTTGCATCCGCTCTGCTCTACGCCACTGTGGACTGCCTTGGACATCCAAAGTTGTGTTGTAACCATAACTGACAATAGCAAGGATTTTTCTTATGGCTTTTATAGGAATTGTAAATAAGAGCCTGCTTCTAGAGAGATCTGGGCTCTGAGTGGTCTGTAGAAAGGTGTTTTTTTTATTATTATTATTGTTGGAACGGCCTTTGAGAGTTATGCCCTGAGTTTCCTGGTATTTTCTACTTAAACTTCACTCCCTGGCAACAAGGGGCAGGCACTTTTATTAGTGTGACACCCTCAGTGCCCGTCGGGGGGGGGGGGGGGG